AGTACTTTTTCCCCAAAAATATTCAATGCGAAACCCGTAGGGATGCCACTGTTTGAAAAAATACAAATTTGTGTACATCAGAAAATGCGCCTTGAGGCATGGAACATATGTACCAAATATGCCAAAGATGTCTACAAAATTATCTCAGTTATTATTAAAAAACTGATTATTTTTGAAAACTTTGCCACCCTGTATCTCAAAAGTTAAGGCGTTTAGGACATACGTCCATAGGAAGTTTTTTTCTTAAAATGGGTCTAAGAATAACCTCCTTAAATATTAGCATGTGTTTAAGGAACACCCTGTATATTCTTTCATTTTATTTTCATCGTCTCCATACGATAACTCTATTTTATGAATGTTATTCCTACACTGACTGTCATAGCATGGTGTTATCACAAAATTTTTGAATATCTATTATAACTGAAATTACTCATTATACATTTCTGTATTTATAATTTATAATATTTTTGAATCTGAAGATGTCAAAAATGCCAAGACGCAATTCTCTATTATATCATTGAACAGGAATATATTTTATTTCTAATTTTATTTCTATATCAACCGAATTTGCAATACGAATTTTCCTACTGAATAACCTTTTTTTATTTTTGAAAATCGGATTAGCCGTTATCGAGTGATTGGCAGTTTTATAATCGTTTCAAGAACTTGCAAATGTATTCAAAACTCACTCCAGTTCATTCCAACCAATTCATTCAGTGGTATTCACATAAAAAAGAATTACTTCTAGCACGAGTCCATTTAGAATTATGGTGTAGAAACTCTCGAGTGTCCCATTACAGGTAAATTTGATTCATTATGGTAAGTATCAGTACGGAGCTGTATTCAACCCATTAAAAACATCCTTACACTCTGACAGTTATAAGAATTGTAATTTTCCAAATTGTTTCTTCTTTCTCAACAATGCAGATTCGATCATTTTCTCCGCCTTACCGATCATCGTTTAATTTTTTCCATTGCTGCTTTCATTACGTAATAATAACAATTATATATTAAACAACCGCAGTTTATTCCAGAGGTCATGGTTTGAATATGAGATGCTTTTAACTAAATTACCTCAGGAAAATTATATACTGTCAGAAATGATTCTGTATACAATCTTCATTATTGTTAGGAAGTGAATGATGAACATTCAAAAAGTATTCACTGGAATGAGTTTAGAATAGTTTTTTCAATAATGATATTCATCGTTTATTTGCAGATTCTTAAAACAAATTCAAAACTGTTAACAAATCAGTATCGGCTGATTCAATTTCCAGAAATGAAAAAGTATTGAACAGATTATTGAAATTTTTACAAGAGGCACAACATTACCGATTTCTATTTAAAAAAAGTTGAAAGGGTCCTCTTGACGACGACTAATGCAAACACTATTGTGTTTCTCATCAGGAAGTAATGAATGTAAGAGAAGGAGGGCATTGAAATAATTAGGACAAGATATCATTACAAATTGCCCACTCAAAATTCCACTTTTGATTCATATCGTTTTGAATATTACTGGAGTTCCATTCCAACACGAAAACCGTTATTTTCAACACCTCGATACGTGTTTCAATTACCAAGTTTTCAATTAAAAAACCCAATGCGTAATACACTTATTCCTGTCATTCAAAGGTTGGAACGGTGCCACCTACTCTTCTAACCATTTTTATTAAAATACACCAATGCATCTCAGAACAGGCAAATTTTAATTACATGTGTAAGTTCAGAACGCTACTTTTCGTAAAATGCTCAACAAATACACCATTTAAAATTTCAAGGCTAACTTCTACCCCTCCTAAAGGGTTGAACCACGAGGGTTACAAATAGTCCTTGAAAGTGTCCCCCTTGACGATAAAATTGACCTTTCGATTCCTCATATTGTTTACTGGAAGGAAGATAAGGGTGGAAAGTTTTCGAATTGACACCCTGTATAACTTAACCTCAACATTTGATGAAATAATGGTTGGAATAACTTCAAATACGAAGAAACTTGTCTTCAGAAAACTTATACGTACCCACTGTACTTTGGATAACCGAAGGTTCGAACGATGGAGTACAACTGATGTTTCTTTCTTCTCTCAGATATGAGAGTTCCTTGAGGGAAATGGTATCATTCGGGTGGAGGCTTCGGTACTGCTCGAATTTGATCAAAAGATCCGGAAGCCATAGTCCCAGACCGAACATCCTGCAAAAGTTTCGAGGCCACAACTTCGATTAATAGATAGTTGCATTAAAAACATATGAATTATTGACTTCTGTCATCCATTGCTTCTGAAATGTTCTATGTGCAACAATAATCGAAATGTAAAAAATCGTTATCTCACTTCATTTCAAAACAGTCAGTGAACTTCCTATAGGTGAGTCACTCTAGCTCGGATTCGCAGTAACAAAGCGCTTTGGATCTCAGTACAGGCGGTGCATTTTTTGTGTGTACATCGCCTCTACAGAGTATAGATTCAAGTAATTTTTCATTAATTCTCTATGTTGTACAGTTACTTTTTCATTCCATCTTCCACGCATCTCAGAGACCAAGCTAGATTGATATTATCATTTTTACACTCACCCAAACATATTAGAGAACATTATACCACTGATGAGTACGGTTCTACCAATCAAATGCCTCTGGAACAAACTCTTCATCTGGTCGACGACCTCACTCATAACTCTTGCAATCTGCCCTCGGCACGTGACTTTGGAGCCGCTGCTGACTTCTATGTTCACCTCTGTGATGATATTCTTGACCGGGAAAGACTCCGGTCCTTTTCCAGAGTTAGAGGAGTACATCTTGCGTAGAACAACAAGAGCCTTCCTAGGGTATCCTTTGGCGACGTAAAATTTGGGACTTTCGGGCAACCTGATCAACCAGAGGCCCACCGTGATTTCAGGCAGGGAGAGTATGATGAGGAAGAGCCTCCAAGGTGATAAAACGAAGAAACCTCCTACTTTCAAGTTGACGTTCAAAGGTAAAACCTGCAAAAAAATAACATTCATATAGAGAGAAACTCACTACCATCAGAATTACAATACAATACATGTGATTGACTTCGTCAAGAAAAATACCCACACACACAAACAATAATCTTCAAGACAAAAATAACGAATAAATAAACTAACATTAAAAAAAAATTCAAAATGGCCATCAAGATTACCAGAACTGATACCATTTGTGATACCGATAGGTCAACGATATCTTAAAACGGCAAATTATTGACATTTTTATGATCAGAGAAAAATTCGTCAAGTGGAATACTTTTTGGTGAAAGAGTGCCAAATACTTTTCTTTGATATTTTAGATTCTCAGACATTCAAGATTGTTTTTTATTCATGGAACTTCAATCAGGAGTGCATTTTTTTGGATACAGTCGAATTTCCAGAACATGTATGCATGGATGTCGAAAAAACTTAAAAAAAATAAATTTCGAGGAGACAAAAACTATTTTCAGTATTCGATATTCAATTAATTTCTATAAAGGGTAGATGTTTCCCTTGAAATATTGAATAGAACGAGTGGACAAGAGGCACGCCATCGCCAGTTCAAAGTGCTTTTCAGTTTTATTTACAATCATACCCTAATTTATTGTTTTTTCGAGCAGGAGATAAATAATAGTTTTCGATTTATTGGTTGAATATAAATTGTTTTTATTCTATGTTGACACTGTTCCAACTCTTGTGTGACAGAAAAAACTCTATATTTTTACCACTTTTATTTGTAACCAACTTTATTGCACTTTCATCCTATAAGGATGTTTTCAAACTTATACATTAAACTAACAATGGTTGATTACATTAGCCCTTATATAGCACCCCTGTAGGTAATAATAGAGGTACTTGGCTTGATTGAGTACCTGAATTTTGCGGATATGCTAATTTGAAAACCGGTGAGTAAACTAAATCGATTTGATCATTCAACAGGTTGTACCCGCAATGTTTATTCTTGTGAATTTCCAAGGACTCTAAATAACTGAGTTTGCAACCCTTCCTTGCATAGTGCAAAATTTCCGTATCGTTTAGATTCGGGAACTTGTGATTGCATGCCAAGGAATGGTTTGAAAACGTCGAATCATTTTTTCTCAGTCTGAAGGACCTTTCATGTTCCAGCATATCGTTTTTGGAAATTTCGACCATATTGTCCCACATAAACACTATTACACTCCGGACACAAGCTTATAAACTCCAGATTTCTCCAACTTGTCCACCTTATCTTTGACATTGAAAAGGAAATCAGATAACCTGGCATGTGGTCAGAATGTCACTTCCACATTGCTTTTTCTGAAGAAACCTGCAATTATCTCTGTTTTTTTTCCAAAATATGTTAGAGTTACACATTTCTTGATTTCTGGTTGTTTGATCTGGGGGTATATTAATCTGTAAGTGAATTTACGGTTTTGTTCTTCTGGATAGTATCTGCGTTGAAACCGACAAAATGCATGCATTGACTTTCATATTTTTATGCTTTATAGTTTTCATTTTCTTATATCTACATTTATGTACTACACGAGAATATTCATTATTATTTATTTCAATATGTAGCATATATATTTAATTTTCTGACTACTTTTTCACCCCAAAATTCTGAAATCGGAATGTTTAAGTACTACTTTTGATCTGTATAACTTATATTCTATAAAATAGTAACACTTTGACAACAAGATTTTACCTTACACAATATCTTTTAAGTTGTGTATCTTATATTTCTTAGAATAGTAACACTTTGTCAATGAGATTTCATCTTCGACAATAAAGTTCAGTTTGATTGATTAATTGATTGAGTGGCGAATATGACTTTCTACGAGGACAAAGTAAATTACTTTCATTTCTTCGATGGATGAGTAAGTGTTCAGATATTTGAATGTAGGTATATAGAACGGTTTGGTATTTTCTAGTCACACATCTTACATGACAATCCCATTTGAGGTGTGCGTCTAGATATATTCCTAGGTATTTTGTTACAGTTACAGAGTTTAATGTCAATATTTTTCCATCTATATTAATTTCCAGGTAGTGAAAAGGAGGTACGCCAGATTTGTTGCAATTGAAAGGAAGAATATGGGTTTTTTCAAGTTAACTGTTAATAGTTTGCTATCAAACCAATCTTTAATGAATTCGAAATCTATTTCTGCACTTTTTTCAATTTCTGCCATGTTAGAGCCCCATGAAAGATAACAGTGTTATCAGCATATCCTATGATGCCCCCTCTACTAACTACTGAGAACAGTTCATTTACATATAGGTTGAATACCAGTGGACCCAGAACTGTGCCTACGTTATTCCATACTCAATGATTTTTGAGTTCTGGGTCTTTTCATTCAAATAGCTCTCCATGTAACAGTTACCTCCTATTCCTATTTTTCCAAGCAATGATGCCAAAATCCACTCACCAAATAAGCTAAAACAGGAAGAAGCAGCCAAGCCAAGGTGAAGAACAGCCCACAGTAGCAGACACTCATGGTGCGGTACTTGGGAGGCTGGAACTCGGAAATGTACGCGTAGATGATACTTCCCGGTCCTCCTATCAAAAATCCATTGAAAAACCTGCATACTATCAAACTATGCACAGTGGGATTGGTCGAACTCAAAATTGTAACAGCCGAATTCAGCAGGTGCGTTCCAATGAGGACAGGCCTTCTTCCGAGCATGTCTGCTAGGGTTCCGAAGAGAAAGCAACTCAGAGCACCTCCTAAGAGGAAGGCGACGTTGAGGAGGCCCAGCTGGAAGGAATCCAGGTTCAGTTCGCACTGGGCTGCAGGAAAGACGTAGGACGAAAGACCGTTTTGGAAGCCCACCACTAGAACTGAGAGCGAACATACTGCTATGGTTTCGATGTGGAATTTGCCAAAGCCTAAAAGAGATAGAAGCATCCATCAACAACCAGTAACAGTATTTGCAACAACAGGACCAAGGTTTATCTTTAGTGGTATGGACTTATTGTCGTCACAATGAAATTCAAAAGCTTTTGACATGCCCATTTCAAGTTGTTCAGGTAACACTTTATTGTGAGATTTTCACTCGATAGTTTACGAAACTGGAAAATGTGTTTTGATACAGTGTGGAAAATTTTGAGAAAGTATTTGTGCACGTGCTGCAATTTTGTAAACTGTCCAGGTGAAAATTCAATGAGTGAGTTATACATTTTCATCAAGTATCGGCTAATGAAATCATATACATTTCAAGTTGGTTTTTTAGATGCATTGCTTGATTCATAATAACACTTGTTAAGAAGGAACAACAATAATTGGTTTAACCTTCAGAAAAATTGGTATAGGTTATTCATCATATTAAAACACGATTTGGCTGCTGAATAATGACTGTACATTTCAGCAAGGCGTTTAATTTTCCATTTAGCCCAATAATAATTATAGATAATCATCTCCGGGAAACTATTATTGAAATATCTTGCAGAAAACCATCACGTACGATTTCAAGAGAATGAGGAGTATTCTTGATTTTGGAATTATATTTAATATAAAAGTTTAGTTGAATATTTTCTCAACTAGTTGAATATTTTCTCAAACTAAAAAATGAAAGAAAATATCCATATTTCGTGAAAGCAGATAATTTTGGTGTCAAAGGATCCTCTTATTTACGTAGAGATCCAGCACTAGGCGTCATCCGTTAGGGCGTCGCGGCACCAACGCCAATTTTTTTTAATGGTAAAGGCAATTTTATTGCGTATTTTAAAGAGGGCCATGAATAAGTCAAAATGAATGCAATAATACGAGTTTAATAAAATTAATCTATCATTTATGATTTCATTGTCTGTTCAATTTTAACTAGTTGCGTATTTCAGTACAAATTAAAATAAATGTTTCAAATTTCCAAAGAATATGTTACTTTGACCATAACTCGATGTTTCCGTACCAAACATTAACCCTCCACACAGACTGAAATCTCGTTTCCTGCACCCAATGAGGGTCCACGTCAGACCAATAGTGACAATTATGACAACAATAAAAATTAATTGGCGCTCCGGGGCGCTTTCATTGATTCCAGTGGCGCATTTGCTTTTTCAGCTGCAGGAAAACCCGGAAAAACCTGCAGCACCACATCATCTGAAGATCTTGATCTAACAATGTCCTCTTTCATAATATTTTTTTCAGAAACTGATCATCATCATGAATACGGGTAGACAACCATGCAATGAAGTTCAATCTTCTATCAGCATCTCCTGAATATGCGAATATATTTTAGTTGTTAACAATGAAACATGAAGAGTATAACCTGGATGTAGTCCTTGAACCAAATGTATTTTGTATGGATGGAATTTGTTATTTGACAAAATACGTTGTACCTATTGACGATTTCGAAATGTCACAATTCATTGCTACTTGTCTGGTAGAACTATGTGGTTCCAATAACATTTGACCTGGCACTGCAACACTGTGATTCTCATCAGTAGCCGTTTTTGTTTTTTTTTGCTTCCGTTCATTAAAACATCCATTTTGTGCCAAAGATTTGGCTAAGCCAGCGAATGTTTTGTCTGACGGTAATTTTCTGTCAGGATATCGATTAGCGTATATTCTCACTGCTTCTTTTGAATTCCTTCTTGCTTCGCCATAAATACAAATCATATCCAACTTTTCTGCATTTGAAAATTGAACCATTTTTCAATTTAACGAAAAACCAACACAAAACTGAATACACTTTCGATAAATACATTATTGCATTTATTTTGACTTATTCATGCTACCCTCTTTATAATATGCAATAAAATTGTTTTTTTTCATCATTATTCAAGAAAAACTACAAGTGTACTATATGGCTGAATTCAGAATTTAATGCAGAATTTAAAAACCAATTGAAATTACCGCTAAACAAATTGGCGTCGGTGTCGCGACGCCCTAACGAATGACGTCAAGTGCTTGATCTCTACGTAAATAGGAGGACCCTTTGACACTAAAATTATCTGCTTTCACGAAATATGGATATTATTTTTCATTTTTTAGATATTTGCCCGCGGAGTTTTATATGGGACATCCTGTATACGTAGAACTCGGGTTTCTATCCGTGTTCTGTGTCTTTGGTCCTCACTGAGATTGTTTTCACGAAGTTTCGGCAAAATCTCATTTCTAAAGAAATTAACTTTAAATGTTCAAGCCCGTCTCTGATATACCTACTCAGTAGGTTGAATGGACTGACGCCTATCAGAAAACAACTACTCCACCGGCTAATACCACGAACGGCTTTGGATTATATCCGACAGGCGTCAGTGCAGAAATCTTCATAGAAAATTTCCTGCATATGCAATTAGCAATGCAACTGAAACAGTCAACCTTCAATTTCGGAACGGGCACACTTGCAGACCGGTTTCAGGCTCAATAGCCACTCGTCAGTGCAAGATAGTGGCCATCATCGACCTAAAGTCAATGATATTCCATAATTGAAAATCGCCGAAATCCATCTTGATTTTATTCAGGTTGAAGCCTGGCTCCCTTCCCCTTTGAACTGATGTTTGCCAGAAAGACAAACGGGTCATAACTGATATGGGTGTTAAATGGTATGGCGGTATGAATGTCCTCAGACATCAGTACCGCCCTTCACGGTGTACCACTGCCTGGCTGGGGTGAATTGGGTGAAAACGTTGTTCTTCTTTCATCGGAAGATATAGGGGCCTCATTCGACAGAGTGTCGGGGCCTTTCATATCGGGAGGGGTCGTCTATAGTATAATCCATAGCTTCCCTGACTAATGAAAATCGAAATTCTTTCAGAGTATTTCATTCCTCTTCCTAAGTTGGAGCGAAACAACAAAATGTCACTCCATCTAGTGGACGAGGTACTAATTTTTTCAGATTGTGGAAGGTAACAATTACCCAAAAAAGGTCGATAAAAAACTGATTTTTTCCTCCACAAAAAATGACTTTCGTTGAATATTAAAAATATACTATACAAATAAGAATAGGAAGCTTTACCCGTTTTTTGTTGTAATATTAAAGGATTATTCTAACCTCAGTTATGAAGCTTTTGTAACAGATATTGAAGGGGTTTTTCATATTTTGGACATGGGAATTGATCTATATATTTTTGTAGTGTCTAACTTTGTTGAAAATAAATCCTAGAATAAAATTGAATAAAATCATTATTAAGTTTCTGAAGAACTGACCGGAATATTCCATTTCACATGCTGAATGTGTATAATTAGGAAAAATATCCTGAGATATTCATTTTCAATTTTCATTGATTCCATAATTGATTTTCACTTTAGTTCATTTTTTTTCTGGGAAACCATCAATATGAAAATTGGACTACAGCTGAGACGCCGTATGTCAAATTTTAAAGACTTTTAAAACATTCTGTATGAGGGTTCGTTAATTGCCATGCGAGTAAAAAGCATATTATAGTCGTGACGAACAACTTAATTTACTTTCTTATTATCATCAAAAGAACAGGTTGCAAAGAAAGATCCTTACCTGTGAGAATAATAGCACTATCAAAACTTGTTGTTTCTGAGGTGATCGACCCACTTTTGGCAACCTTCATTTTCCGATCAAAATCTGCCAATTTCAGCAAAATTCAATAACTCACTATCGTCGATGGGTATGTTATTGTAGCAAGAAGCACAAATTGTCTGTTATGAAATAAAAACATTTAAACACATTTCGTGTCATTTCAAACAATTGATTATTGAACATAACCAATAGGTAATTTTGATTATTTTAATTACTTTATGAATCAGATCATCGCACGGATGCACGAATGTTATGTAGAAGAAGCCCATAAAATTTCGAATATTTTATGATTATGTCTAATGGCAATATTTCGATAGGCTTTGTAAAGATAACATAATTGAAATGAAAAATCATAATGGGACATCGCAATTGTGCTTAATAAAGCAGATATTGAATAATCACTCACGTAATACTGATAATTCATAATAATTCAGTAATTTACCTGAATCTCCCAAATATTTGAAAATTTCATTTACATTTGAACATAATCTCAAATAATATTTACTGCACAACTTTATTAAACGTATTTTTTTCATTTCGATTGAAACCTTCGTTGCCAAGTGGATTTTTCATTCAACAGCTCTATACAGTGTGTCCGCAAAGTATGGAATAACCATTTCCAAAAAATTCCCAAAACCAAAGGTCGTTTTACAAAAACCTGAAACACGTCGATTTTTAATTTTAGTATTCTACTAAACGTTCAACCTAAACGTTGAATAAATTCTTGTTGAACCTTGTTTATGGTTTCTTGAGAAATATTGTTTATTTCTGTTCGAATTCTCTCTTTTGATTCTTGAATATTTGCTGGTTTCGTTTTATAAACAACTTTCTTCAGATGGACCCACATAAAGTAATCCAACGGATTTAAGTCTGGCGACCTCGCTGGCCATTCAATATTTCCACGTCTATCAATGCATCGGTTCGTAAACATTTGGTCGAGAAACCATAAACTTTCATCAAAACTTCCAGGATTAATTCTACTGGTGAATGAATTAATGAAACTAGGTACAAGATATTGCCTTAAAAACTGAAGGTATGTTGGCCCGTCTAAAGTATCGTCGAAAAAGTAGGGTCCGATGATCCTCTTTCTTACAATGCCAGCCCAAACATTTACCTTTTGTGGGTATTATGAATGATGCTCACGCATCCAGTGGGGATTTTCTTTGGCCCAGTACCTACAATTCTGACGGTTTTCCCCACCATTCAATGTAAAAGTGGCTTCATCAGCAAAAATTATATATTTTACGAGAAGACGGTCTCGGTGACAGTTATCCATAATGGCTTCACAAAATTCTATTCTTCTATCTGGATCATCCTCGTTTAATTCCTGTAGAAGTTCGATTTTAAAGGGATGCCATTTTTCCAATTTTAATACTATGTGTACAGTTGTTTTACTGACATCGAAATCGCGACTAACCTCACGAACAGAAGTGTGCACATCTTCTTCAAAAGCAAATAGAACATCTAGTTTTGTACCATCATTTGCAGAAGGACGACCTGATTTGCGTGCATTTTCAACTGTACCAGTTTCTCGAAATTTCTTTTCAATCTTACTTACTGCTGACTGCGTTATCCGTCTTTTTGGATATTTTTCATTGAATAAGTTACCCACTTCCATCTGAGTTCGCGATCTGTCTCCATAGCCAATCATCATAAGTATTTCAATTCTTTGCTTTACACTTAAATTCATAACTACTTCGGGTTAATTCGATGCAATACTACAGAAAATTCACGAAATAATACAACAACTACTGTCCTATTTAACAGTTACTGAACGTCAATCGAAATAATGAGATTTCACAATAACAAAAAAAACTACCCGCCCAGTTGAAATTGATAAGAAATACTTGTTAGCACGGTTACTGTCAAATACAGCAAGGACTACAGTTCGAACATTTAAAATAAAGTCATGTATTTATTACTGGATTACTTTCCCATTGTTAAATTATTCATTAGAAAAAAATATAAAATAATTATTTTCTACTTTTATTAGATATCAATAAAATTTATTTCCTAAGCGCACATCTTTCAAATTCTGTCCGTTAGACCGCAAGTATCATACCTTTTCGGAATCAGCTCGTTACGGTCGCACTGTATATTCTATATAGCGGTACTTGAGAATGAGAAAAAATATGAGAAACTGATTTGTTTTCTAATTGTTTTGAAGATTTATAATCCTTTTTTGAAACATCAAGCTATAACCACTAAAGATGCGATGCAACTCAATCGGCTCTTTTTCTCAAAGCATTTGAAACATCAAATAAATTATGTATCAACATGGAAATAGTATCACGACATATTTTAACCTTTTTAGAGCTTGACTTTGACAGTTTAATTTGACACGCCATCGATCTTTTTGAGACATACTGGGCACTAGTATATTATGGAAACACTTTCCAACCGACAAACTTACAACTGAGAAACGAACTTGTCGTAAAACTCTTTTATATACAAGGAAAGAATTATGTCCCAGTCGATGGTAAATATTTACCTGAAAGGAAATGAAATTGATAGTAGTTGTTTGTAAAGGGTTGGGTAAGTTTTTCAATACAATTTCTCTTTCATTCCAAGATTTTTTCATGTGTGTTTAGTGATATAGAATTGGTGTACACAAAAGTCACAACAATGATGGATGTTCTCAAGTCAATTAGGATGATTGATTATATAAAAAAGTGTGGTAATTCAACATGAATATCTCAAAGATAAATGAAACAGTTGTTACTGAATGGGAATTTTCAATAAAAAAATTATATCCCATACCTGACACCCATTAACGCTAACGATAATCCCACTTCTGAAACTGAAAGATGCGATTCGTTTTGCAGAATCATTCTCCTAATGCGTTCGTGCCAACGTCAACGGATCGAAATATGACCCCAGGGAGGACCGTGTTAAAAATAGCGATTTCGCTGATCTAATTCGGTACATCCGACGCCGGTCGTTGAATGTTCCTGAAACTATGGCGCTTCATATCAGGCTACCAGAAAGACATCCAGATGTTATGTACACTCACCCCTATTTATCTTAAACATAACTAGTGGCACGCGTCACCAATTTGTCGTATATTTTCACCCCTTTTATTAGACATATTGATGTTGAAGTGTAGGGCGTTTGTGTTGTATTTAGCAAAAATTGCTTTAAATTCTGGATTTTTGTCTAACCTTTTTTTTCTTTTTTTAGTTTGTATATATTCGATGTACATCAAAAACTATTTATTTAGATCCAAATTTGTTTTATATTTATTATTTGAGCCAATAATGCTCAAAGATTTATAAATGAGTTTTACGGACTAATCACTTTACGGTAATAATAGGTCCAGTTTTTTCTCTACTTACTAATTGTGAGATAGCCTTAGATCCAGTTTTCGTATTCATCCTGACACATTCACTCTATTTTCGTTAGGTGTATATCATGAATGATATTACCAGTTACCTTTTGTCATTATTGTTGCTCACTTTTCCTCAACATAATGTAACACATGTCATGATTTATAGTACGTTTTACAGAATCATCTTTCCTGAGAACTCCAGCGTGAACAGCTCGCAATTTACACATAATATCACGAAAGAAATTAATTGGCATATGAACCTGAAGGCATATGATAAGACAAGATATATATTTCATCTTTTTAGGTACAAATGGTATACATAAGACAGATCAATATAAAAACATAAAAGTTGAAAATCGAAGATAATTATAGAAACATATACAAATAGAGTCACAATAATTTCAAAAGTAATATACAGAGAAAAACATAACTAATTTTTCTTCATTATTTATAAATTCACTAAGTGAATATAAATTGTTATCCAATAAAAATTTCTTCAACTGTTTTTTAAACTTTTTCTGATCAGGAATACCTTTAATTTTTCTGGAAGGTGGCTGAAAGCCATTGCCCCGGCATATCTTGGCAATTTTTTGTATTCCGTAAAATTACATTTTTTAACATGAATTTCATGGTTTTGTCTAGTGGGGTAATCGTGTATTTCGTGAGATCTCGTGAACGATGACAAATTTGAGTGGATGTAAGACAGTAATTTATAAAGAATTTTATTTTTAAAAAAGACTTCTCTACATGATTCGTTATATTTCAGATCTAAGATTGATCTTACAAATCATTTTTGGATGAAAAAACTCTTACTACTTCCACTGATTGTCCCCAAACCGTTATGTTCATACACAGAGTTGAATATACGAGAGAGTAATACAAATCTGGCAAATGCCCTATTGAAGTTATTTTTCAGAGTCGCAAATGCAAAGAACGTTTTACTGAGTTTTGTGCAGAGGAATTCGATGTGTTTTTTGAAGTGAAGTTTGCTGTCTAGTTATGTTTCTAAAAATTTTGTAAGGGTTGAGGTTGTCAAGCAAACCGAATCTATATTTAAATTCAAGACATGAAACTTACCCAGCTTGCTTATGAATTCAACGCAAATTGCTTTAGACATATTGTTAATGAGATGGTTCTTTATGTGAAGCTGCTAAGTACCTACATGGATTAATTTTTGCTTTCAGGAGGAATACGTTCTCCGCTATTACTATGATAGTTGTATACATAAATGGCCTATCATGTTCAATGAAACGGAGCAAGTCATTAACATAAAGAAGGAAAAGAAGAGGTCCTGAATATCATGTTAAAGAAGTCTCGCTGAGAGAAGAGGATCTACTCGAACAAAATAAGAAACTTAGAACGCATCTCGGCGAGTATGAAGCTGAAATAGTTGATCTGCGTGAAAAAAGATTAAAGAATGTGTCAAGTAAATCCACAAAATCAGTTTCTACCCAAACTTTTTCACCACCAACGATTAACAATACAACGCAAACTATGACCGATTCTATAGATTCCATCAGCATCTCAACTCAAACCGCATACGAAGTGAACTTTAATGAGAGATCCGCTGAATTGGAAAAAGATGTTCAAGAGTTGAATGACATAATAAATAATATGCTAATATCCATCAATACTCTTACCCAGGGAAATAAAATGTATCAACAGGAAATAGAGGATCTGAAATCGAAAATTAGGCTCCTTCATAGGGACGAATGGAAGGAAATAAGTCTTTGTGCAACTCTTTTCGAAGGGGGTCTCAAAACCACAATTCCAAGTGAGACCAAATAAAATTGTCATTGTCAGT